TCGATTTTATATGATTGCGCTTCGAAGTAATAAATTAATTCCAAGGTAGTAGTCGAATGAGCAGTTGTTGGGAGAATATATCAGAACTTTGCACAGTTTCAATTCAGTCTATTCTCTAGTCTCACTGCAGTCAATACGCATATCACAATTGAACAGTGCTCTGATAATGACGATATTGATAATTGCGATAATCACAATAAGTATGATAATGATGGCAATATTGATAACAGTATTAAAAAAGGTGGATCTGCGGCAGTCTATTCGAATTGGACGTTTCGGTTTCTGATGGTCCAAATGCTTCGACCATACCAGCAATGCACCACTCTGCTCAATGTGTCTTCAAAAATGTGAGACGTGTAAGTGCGCTTTGTGATGAGTTTGCAGTCTCTGAACATGATTTTATCATTCATTGAACTTTGGAATTATCTCATTGCTACTTCCGATGGTGTCAATACATTATTCATTTCTAACCTACAAGGAAACAACCACAAACAAGATATCAAAATCCCGATTCGGCCTCTCACGGTCTTACCACTAACGAAATAATTTTTTGGTAGTGGTGTAGAATTTGAACAATATATCATTGAAAATCTGAACTGGATGGAAATGAAATTTGAACGAAAATCAAGAATGCTTTGTGTGGACACATCTCAGTATTAACGACGGCTTTCTATTTTTCGAGCGGATGATGCGTAAAGTCAAATGCACAGATGGGCTATCGCTACCTAGTAAAACATAGCGAAATAAGCTTTTCTCTATTTCCTCAGTCAAATGTGGACGTATGCCTTCAGATCACCCTCGACCATCAATAATTCTTTGTTCATAGTAGAATGTTTTCTCGTGCAGATTCATTTGAATCAACGATTGAATTTGTCATCTATTCATGGTCATCGATTCAATTTGTTCGCTCACTACAACTGATTGCGGTTTTCACTCAGTTTTATCCTACATTAAAGAAACAATTTGTTTTGATAAAATTTTTCATTACGCTCCATCAACGCAAGACACTTTGCTCATAGCCTTTTCAGTTAAAAAACTTTACCTGTTAGGAGCACTTATTGCATTAGGAGAACTTTATCTATTAGGAGCATTAAGAGCACTTATTGCAGCACTTAAAATCATTTCACTTACATTTAGTGCTCCTAATGGTAAGTGCTCCTGAGTGATCACTTGTTTGATCTGTCACATCGCTATTTTTGTATCAGATCTGGTTTTGTTTCTTTTCAAGAACTATCGTCATCCTCACTGAAAACCGAATTCTCAGTAGTATCGCACTTCAAAAATTTGCATCGCACCGTCCTTAATTTGCACTGTTGATTGCACATCCATCATGTTGTTGACTTCAGTATATTTGTAAAAAAATCCTCGACATCAGTTGTATGTATGTTCAACAGCAACTTATGTTCAACAGATCTTAACTTAATTTAACACCAAAGTAGAGTTTTATGGATGGAAGGAACATTGTTGACAAGTACAAGTACGACTTTTCGCATCGCTCTTTTGCGTATGCAACAAAAACTTTGTCTGCTGCAATCAATTTTTTTCGGTGGATTTGATTTAATAACACATTTGTTTGAACCTAATCAAAGCCACATGTCACAAATGCCATCAATCGATGATTGCAAAACAAAAATCAATAAATAAAGCCTAAAGTTGGGATTGATGAACGTGCAAACAATAAATTTTTATTTACTTGTCAATAAAATTCTTACGATTAGCATAATTCAAAAAACGAACAAGCACATACAATTGATATTTTGCACATACACGTTCGATTTATTAAATAAGAAATATCTATCTCACAACTAATTTCTCATTTGTCATTTGCAATAATCACATTCGATTACAATATCACTTTAATGATAGATATTTCTTGAAAGAGTAACAAGACAAACAGATCAAAACAATTGAATTCGATGATTTTCACGATCCGACACAACGATTGTATGGTCGAGTAAGGCGATATCCTCAAGGCCTTTCAGTTGACCTGCACCAACGCCCCACGTACCGAAACAGTGCATGAAACGGCCATTCGGATAGAATATTTGCACGCGGTTATTGCCACTATCCGCTACGATCACGAAGCCCTACAAGAAGATTCAGCAAATAAATATTTCACTGCTTTTAATTTTTGTATTTTTATGTGCTCATTTTTTGTCAAGTGAAAGATTCACTCAATCAAAGGGAAATAATTGTTCTTAATAGAAATGTTACAAAGTTTTCACATTGTAATCATTGGTTTTTAAATGATCGTTCCTGAACTGGTGAATTAAAAGGTGAATTAAAAGGTGATCTCACAATGCGAGCGTTAAAGAATGTTTTGCTATGCAAACGACATTAGTTTTTTCATTCTAAAAGACTGTTTTTGTCTCCATTATCGTCCAGTGAACGTATCAATTCGTATTTGGATTGCATTCGCCGGTTTGCCGGTTGCTCAACGAAGTTGAAACTTAAACGTGGTGAAAGTCTCTAAAAAAATAGGGAACTGCAATACAACCTGATCATCAACAGCGATGCCACGTGGAAATTTGAGTTGACCATTATGGAAACCTTCTTGACCGAATTGAAGTACAGCGTTACCATTATGATCGAACACACAAATTCGATGATTCGAACTATCCGTGACATACAAATGTTGTGATTGTTTATGATAGGCAATAAATTGTGGATTGTGCAGTTGACCTGGACCTGAACCCATTGATCCGAATTTGCTGACAAACTGTCCATTTGGATCGAATACTTGGACTCGATGGTTATCCTGAAAGCTTATCAGCGGCTTGCTTCAATGCTGCCCGTTACATAATCACTTTTGAATTTCATCCTCTCATTTCAAATCAATCATATCACAAAAATCATAATAATTCCTGAGCAACATCAGAACTGTCCAAAACTGTTCTGACAATTTGGAAGTATAAGCTGAATGTTTGAATGGACCATAAGTAACAATAAATCGGTTTGACAATAAAAAATCGGTTTTAAATGCAGATCTAATGAAATAATATCTTTGTGATAATCAAAAGGAAGTGAATATAAAGAAATGATAACCTTATCAACAGCATATATCATACCAGCTTCATCAACACACACACCCCATGGATTATTAAATCGTCCATTGGACGGACCGTGTGAGCCAAATGCCCGGATGAATTGACCATTCAGATCAAAAACAACGATTCTGTGATTGTATCGATCCGAAACAATCAACTGCTTCAGTCGATTCGAGCAAATACCAGCTGCTGAATCCAGTTCACCGTTGCCACTGCCATATTTACCGAACGACCGTATTAAACGACCTTGCGTATTGAATATACAAATACGATGATTACTGCTATCACATACAGCGAATTCATTCGTACCACTTATCGCCGTCACACCTCGTGGCCAATTCAGGTCACCTTCTTTTGAGCCTTTCTTACCGAATACACAACGCGGCCTACATTTTGACTGATAATCTACCGTACAAAGAAATTTCGATGGAAGCATCTTATGTTCTAAGCGTGCTTCGTTCGACGCTTCTCGTTCGGCAGCCATTGCAAAAGCACGGCGCCTGAATCGGGCACGACGATCGGGTGGGATAGGTTGTTGCTGATAGGACGTTTTCGAAGTTGGTGATGAGATAACATTATTAGTGTCGTTATCAAACGAGGTGTTATTATCAGCTGAATCAGATGAATACAACGATGGTGGTAATGGAACATAGCGCTGCGTCGTTGAATCTAAACGGTTTGCTCTTTCAGCTAAAAGTTGTTGGATACGAGTATTGTTTATTGATGGTGACGAAGGTGAGGTGGTAGTTGGAATATTAGTGCTGTTAGTATTGTTACAATTGATCTGTGATAATGCTATTAAGATATCTGGATTGGTTTTAGAACGTTGATAACGCTGACGACGTTTCATAATCCATGCTGGTATCTCACCTGGGTAGTGCACTATGGGAATCGGTTGTGGCGGTGGAGTCTGCGGGGGTGGCTGAGTTGCGCTCGAATTACGCCTTGTTGAAGATGCTGCGCTATCTGGTCGTGATGATGTTTCGTTGAGTGATTCTTGTTTTTGTATGGGTGTGTTATTGCTAGTGGCATTATTTGTGCTTGTTTGAATGCCATTCGAGGTCTGCTGAATGCTGGCCGCGTGTATGAAGTTCGGTGTTTGTTGTTCGGAAGTTGAACGACAAATGATACGAAAGCGATTCGGTGCCGGATGTGTAACAATCGGCAGTGGATCGTTATCACTCTCCTCACTTGAGTGCGTTGTTGATGACGACGATCCAGCACTCTTCAATTCTTGTGGTGACGACTGATCTGTGGTGATCGGTACAATTAGATTGTTGTTGATCGCTTGTGCAATTTCGGGATGTGACTGATCCGCAGCGATCGTTCGATTTCGCTGTCGACGTTTCTCGTGCTCAGCACGAATATGTGCCACCTTCTCATTCAAGCTTGTATCATCACTGGACGCTTGTCTTAAATGTGCTGCACGCCGTTTTGATGATACACTATTACT